TGTAGGTTTTGGTGTGTACATAAGCTTTCCTTCTCTGGGATAAACGCCCAGGAGTGCAACACCTGGGTCATATGGTAGTTGGATGTTTGGTGGGGGTTTTTTGTGTGTGAGGAAGATTGGCCCTGAGACAATATCTGTTGCCAATCTTCCTCTATTTTTACGTGGGACGCTGCCACAGTGTGGCTTGATGAGTGGTGCTAGGTCCGTGCCCAGGATCTGAACCTGCAAACCCCAGCCACCAAGACTTCACCACCACACCACTGGGCTGGCCTCGGAATTTTGGTTTTTGGAGAAACTGCCCAATTGTTTTTCCAGAGTGGCTGTACCACTTTACATTCCCAGCAGCAATGTGTGGGTGATAGTTTCCCTGCATCCTTTTCAGCATGTGGTTTTCTCATTTTAAAAATTTTGGCCATTCTGACAGGTGCATAGTTGCTATAGACTGAATTGTGTCTCCCTTTACATTCACATGTTGAAACCCTGACCCTCGATATGATTGTATTTGGAGAGAGGGCTTTTAGGGAGGTAATTAGGGTAAAATGAGGTCATAGGGTGGGGCCCCAATCAGATAGGACTGGAGTCCTTATAAAATGAGGAAGAGAGACAGAGCGCTCACTCTCTGAGTAAGAGAAGAGCACAGAGAAGATGCCAGAGGAGAAGCCAGAGAGAAGGTGGCTGTTGACAAGCTGGGACGAGAGGTCTCACCAGAAGCCAACCTTGATGGCACCTTGATCTTGGACTTGTAGGCTCCAGAACCGTAAGAAAACAAATTTCTGTTGTTTAAGTCACCCCGTCTGTGGTATTTTGTTATGTCAGCCCCAGTAGACTAATACAATAGTGATACTTCTTGTGGTTTTAATCTGAGTTTCCTAATGACTAATGTCGTTGAACATCTTTTTATGTGCTTATTTTCCATCTGTATATCCTCTTCAGATAAATGTCTGTTCACGTCTTGCTCATTTTCTGATTGGATATTTTTTTACTGTTGAGTTTTAAGAGCTCTTTTTGTGTTTTAGATACTAGCCCTTTGTCAGATACGTGGTTTGCAAATATTTTCTCCCAGTCTGTGACTTGTCTTTTCATCCCCTTCATAGGGTCGTTCACAGAACAAAAGTTCTTAATTTAAATGAAATGGAATTTATTAAGATAATAAATTTGTGTGGTTTTAAACCACTTTGTAGGAATTTGTCACAGCAACAACGTAAAATGAAAACCACCATTTCCCGTCCTTTTACTTTCAATGTGTTTATGCTATTGTCTTTGGAGTGAGTTTCTTTTAGGCAGCATGTGGCTGAGTCACGTTCTTGAACCTACTCTGCTAATCTCTGTCTTTTAATTGGTATATTTAGACTACTTACATTTAATGTCATTATTGATGTGTTGGGGCTTAGAGTTGCCTTTTAATTTTTTGTTTTTGTTTGTTCTCTTTGTTTTTCTATTTTCTGTCTTCTTTTCTGTGTCTTCCTGTGGGTTACTTCAACATTTCTTTGAATTCCATTTTGATTTATCTATACTAATTTTTGGTTTTTTGAGGAAGACTGGCCATAAGCTGACATCCATGCCCATCTTCCTCTATTTTATGTGGGACACCTGCCACAGCATGGCTTGATAAGCAGCGCACAGGTCCACACCTGGGGTCCAAATCAGCAAACCTTGGGCCACCAAAGCAGAATGTGCAAATTTAACTGCCACATGACTAGGCTGGCCCCTATCTATACTATTTTTGACTGTACCTCTTTGATAGCTTTTTTAGTGGTTGTTCTAGGTATTACATCACATTTACATAACATACAAGAGTCTATTAGGTCATTCTTTTACCTGTTTGAGTGAAATGTAGAAACCTTACTTCTTTTTATATCCCTCTACTTTCCCCCTGTTTATAACATCATTGCTTCCAGTATTCCCTGTCATACATTTAGAACTGTATCAGATAGTGCTATGATTTTGCTTCAACAATCAAACATAATTTAGAAAACTCAAAAGGGGATGGAAAGTCTATTGTATTCACCGACATTTTGCTTAAATATTTACCCAAAATATAGAGAATGCAGTATTCTTTCTTCCTTCCTGATGTTCTCAGATTCCTTCTGTTATTGTTTCCCTTCTGATTAGAGAATTTTCCTCAGCCATTCTTCATGCAAGTGTGCTGGCCACAGATTTGCTAGTTTTCCTTCAAATGAAAATATCTTGATTTTCCTTTCATTTCTGAAGGATATTTTTGCTGGGTATAGGATTAGGAATTGATAGGTTTTTTTCTTTCAGTAATTAAAAAATATTGTGTTGCTTTATTCTAGGCTTCACAGTTTTTGATGAGAAAGTCACTGTTATAAGAATCCTTTTTCTCCTATAGATAAGATTTTGTTTTTCTCTCCTTGCTTTCAAAAGTCTTTCTTTGTATTTAGCTTTCAGAATTTTGACTATTATGTGTCCTGCTGTGCATTTATTTTGCTGGGAGTTTATCCTGATGGGGTTCACTAAGCTTCTTGAATCTTCAGATTTATGTTTTTGCCAAATTTAGGAAGTTTTCAGCCATTACTTCTTTGAACACTTTTCATTTCTACCCTCTTTCATCTCTCCTTCTTACCCAATGATATAAATGCTGGATTTTTTTTTCCTGGGGAAGATTTGCCCTGGCTAACATCTGTGCCAATCTTCCTCTATTTTGTGTGTGGGTCACTACCACAAGATGTCTGCTGGCAAGTGGTGTAGGTCTGTGCTTGGGAACTGAACCTGGGCTGCTGAAGCAGAGCATGCCGAACTTAACCACTAGGCCATGGAGCTGGTCCATAAATGTTAGATTTTGTTATAGTGCCACAGATCCCTCTGGGTGTGCTAGAAAAGACATGGAAGAATTGAGTTTTTCATTTCAAAGTCTTTCGCAAACTTTCCTGACAGTTTATTTTAACAAAGACTTTTTCTAGTGCCACTCTATGGCAGCCCCTGGACTAGGCACTGAGTTGCAAAGATATATAGGACACAGTCTTTGCATATAAAGAGCTTATAGTCTCATGGGATGGTCAGACACGTGAACAAAATGTCCTTATTGTGTGTATGCCAAATAGAGGTATTCATCTAACCAGCAGTGGGCAAATTTTTCTGTAAAGGGCCAGAGAGTAAGTATTCTAGGCTTTGTGGGCCAAAAGGTCTCTGTTACAACTATCCAACTCTGCCATTGCAGCACGAGAGCAGCCATTGACAGTACGTAAATGAAAGGGGGTGGCTGTGTCCCAATAAAACTTTATTTTCAAAAACTGGCAGTTAGTGGGGGCTGGCCCCGTGGCCGAGTGGTTAAGTTCGCGCGCTCCACTGCAGGCGGCCCAGTGTTTCGTCGGTTCGAATCCTGGGCGCGGACATGGCACTGCTCGTCAGACCACGCTGAGGCAGCGTCCCACATGCCACAACTAGAGGAACCCACAACGAAAAATACACAACTATGTACCGGGGGGCTTTGGGGAGAAAAAGGAAAAAAAAAAAAACAAAAAACTGGCAGTTAGTGGGGCCAACCCAGTGGTGTAGTGGTTGGGCTCACATGCTCTGCTTCAGTGGCCCAGGGTTCACAGGTTCGGATCCCAGGTGCAGACCTAGCACCACTCATCAAGCCATGCTGTGGCGGCATCCCACATAGAATAGAGGAAGATTGGCACAGATGTTAGCTCAGCGACAATCTTCCTCACAAAAAGAACAAAACAAAACAAATAGGCAGTGAGCCTATTTGGTCCAGTGACTCTGACTAGCTGACCCCAATCTAGTCCTTATTTTCTTCCTTCTCTGTCTTTCTATGTAAAAGATAGTTGTTATGAGAATTAAATTAGGTAATATTTGTAAAGTACTCACAACAAGGCCTGGCAGATATTAAGGTTTATGTGATGTTAGTCTTTGGCTCTTGTTTCTCACCCAGCCCTCTATCTATTCACAGGATGTACCCGAGGGTTAGGGCAGGTGATGTGGAGTATGTGCTCAAGCACTGAAAGGGAAACCATGAGCAATTTATGTGCTTATTACTCAGCTGGTCATTTCAACAGGAACCTAGACAAAGAGCTTACCAGGTTCATTTCTACCTTGAGTGTCCGTGATTCTGCGAACATCCCTCTGCTTTCATCCAAAGAGGAGTGAGGCAGGGGAAAGAGAATTTGTTCTGGAGTTAGACGATCTGGGTCTAAGCCTTACCTCTACCCACTGAGCTTCACCTCGTTGACCTGTAGCATCTTCGTGTTTAAAATGTGAATGATGATCCGTTCTTCACAGGATGATTATAGGAATTAAACAAGATGATGGGTATGAATAGTACTTTGTAAACCATAAAGTACTTTGCAACTGTTGGTACTTATTAACATTATTAGGCTACAAGGACTCTAACTCACCCATTCGTGGATTCCTTTCCCACAAAGTTTTCAGCCTCTGTGGTGGGAAGGGTGGCACTTAAAGAGGCACTAAAGAGCCAATACCCAGTCAGAACCAAGCAGAAAAGGGACTTGTTATTTAGCACTAATATGTAATTAGTAGTTGAAAATAAGATTAATTGTGCAGGCCTTTGTTCCACTAAATGGTACCTCTGTGGCTTTCCAGACTTTATATGCTTCGGTGTAACCAGAGGGGAAACAATTGACCTTTCTCTTGTTGAGGTGTGTTATAGGATTGCTGGTAGTGATAGTTAGCAATTGAAAGAAAGCTGAGTGTGCAATGAGCTCAAAGGCTGTGCCACTTGAGCAGTGCTGCTGGTTCTTGCAGGCTGGGTGAAAAGAGGAATTCAATTCAGTTCAATTCAATCCAGTCCAATCCAATTCAACTTGACTTAATGAATTGAGCTTTGGTATCTGCTGGACGTGGTGCCAGGGGCAAGGGATACAAAAACGAGTCTGACGCAGCCTCTGCCCTCTGGGAACTAACAGCTTGGGGAGGGAGACACACAAACCCCGAGTCACAGTGTGGGAGGAGCTAGGCTAGAGGAAATGCTACAGGGGAAAAAGGCCAGGTTTCTTCTTCACGGGCTCATTCTCACTTCAGGAGCGCGAGCACGGGAGAGATTTATAAGGACGATGAGAAATAGCGCCGTCGTTTTGCTGTTTTTCAGTCACATTCCTGGGAGAGGATGACTCCTAGCCAGGACTCCGCCATTAGCAGGTATCTAACCTAAGTTCTTCTCTCAATATGTCCCCACCTTTTTAATGACTATTTTTATTCCTTCAAATTGAGTTGCTGGCCTAGTTTAAAAACATTTATTTTTAACAGCTTCATAAATGGGAGCTTTATGAGTTTAGTTTTGTTAACCATTTCCTTGTTTGAAAAGTAGAAGAAAGCAGGAAAGTTTACTTGTTCAAGACTTACCTCTGTCAAGGAAAGTTCTTGAAATGCTTTGAAATGAAAAAAAGACAAAAAAGATTACTGGCGTCCTGTCCAGTGCATCCTTTGAGTATCTCTTCCTTTCATTGTATATGAGCCAATTTACAAATGTTTAAGCTGTGGAAAACTTAATGCAAATGATGCTTATCTCTAAAATGCAAATGAGTAGTTTTTCACCTTTTTGGGACTTTATTTCAATAATATTCCTTATTGCATATATATGTGAGTCTTTGAATTCTCTTTTGAGCCACTTGTAACATCCCTCTGGTTCCCCTAGCTAATGAGTTAAATAAAACTTTTAATATGTGTTCATTTTGTATTTGTATGAGAGTCATGATTTTATATTTTTTAAAACAATTATCCTTTAACACTTCTCATCTGAGAAGGAACTGGCTGGTGATGTGGAAGGATAGGAAGGGAAGGAAACTGATGTGGTAAGCATCTATTTAATACCAAACCTTTATGTGCATTATTTCGTTTAATCCACACAACAGTCTAGACCCTTTGTGTAAAGCGTTTTTGTGTGTGTGTGCCAATATAACTTTATTTATGGACACTGAAATTTGGATTTCGCATCATTTTCACATGTCACAAAATATGATTCTTCTTTGGCCTTTTTTTAATCATATAAAAATGTAAGGCTATTGTTAGCTCGCTGGCTGGACGAAATCAGATGGCGGGCTAGATCCGGCCTGGGGGGGGCTGCAGTTTGAGTCTCCCGCTCTGAAACAGATGCCATGATGAAAAGGCTCTATTTCTGAGCTGTCCAACATAGTAGCCACACTGAGTGCTTGAAATGTGGTTCGTTTGACTGTGTGGATTTTTCACTGTGTTTACTTTTTTCTTTTTTGGAGTGAATTCTTTTTTTTTTTTTTAATTTGAGTTCATAATAGTTTACATCATTGTGGGATTTCAGTTGTACATTATTTCTTGTCTGTCACCACATAGGTGCTCCCCTTCACTCCCTGTGACCACCCCCCACCCGCCTTCCCCTGGTGACCACTGAACTGTTGTCTTTGTCCATGTGCTTGTTTATATTCCACATATGAGTGAAATCATCTGGTGTTTGTCTTTCTCAGTCTGGCTTATTTCGCTTAACATAATTCCCTCCAGGTCCTTCCATGTTATTGCAAATGGGATGATTTTGTCTCTTTTATGGCTGAGTAGCATTCCATTGTATATATACACCACATCATCTTTATCCAATCATCAGTTGATGGGCACTTGGGTTACTTCCATGTCTTGGCTATTGTGAATAGCGCTGCAATGAACATAGGGGTGCGTGTGTTACTTTGGATGGTTGATTTCAAGTTGTTTGGGTAGATACCCAGTAGAGGGATAGCTGGGTCATATAGTAGTTCTGTTTTCAGTTTTTCGGGGAATCTCCATACTGTTTTCCATAGTGGCTGCACCAGTTTGCACTCCCACCAGCAGTGTGTGAGGGTTCCCTTTTCTCCACACCCTCTCCAACATTTGTTGTTTTTAGTCTTAGTGATTATAGCCATTTTAACAGGCGTAAGGTAGTATCTTAGTGTAGTTTTGATTTGCATTTCCCTGATGATTAGTGATGTTGAACATGTTTTCATGTGTTTATTGGCCATCCATATATCTTCTTTGGAAAAATGTCTGTTCATCTCCTCTGCCCATCTTTTGATCAAATTGTTTGTTTTTGTGTTGCTCAGTTATGTGAGTTCCTTATATATTATGGAGATTAACCCCTTGTCAGATATATGATTTGTAAAAATTTTCTACCAGTTGGTGGGTTGTCTCTTTGTTTTGATCCTAGTGTCTCTTGCCTTGCAGAAGCTCTTTAGTCTGATGAAGTCCCACTTGTTTATTTTTTCTGTTGTTTCCCTTGTAAGAGAAGACATAGTATTCGAAAAGATATTTTTAAGTTCACTGTCAAAGAGTGTACTGTACTGCCTATATTATCTTCCAGGAGTTTTATGGTTTCAGGACTTCCCTTCAAGTCTTTGATCCATTTTGAGTTTATTTTTGTGTATGGCATGAGATAATGGTCTACCTTCATTCTTTTGTATGTGGCTGTCCAGTTTTCCCAACGCCATTTATTGAAGAGGCTATCTTTTCTCCATTGTGTGTTCTTGGCACCTTTGTCGAAGCTTAGCTGTCCGTAGATGTGAGGTTTTATTTATGAGCTTTCAGTTCTGTTCTGTTGATCTGTGTGCCTGTTTTTGTACCAGTACCATGCTGTTTTGATCACTATAGCTTTGTAGGACATTTTGAAGTCAGGGATTGTGATGCCTCCAGCTTTTTTCTTTTTTCTCAGTATTGATTTAGCAATTCGGGGTCTTTGGTTGCCCCATATGAATTTTAGGATTCTTTGCTCTATTTCCGTGAAGAATGTCATTGGGCTTCTGGTTGGGATTGCATTGAATCTGTGGATTGCTTTGGGTAGTATGGACATTTTAACTATGTTTATTCTTCCAATCCATGTACATGGAATCTCTTTCCATCTCTTTATGTCATTATCTACTTTTTTCAATAATGTCTTATAGTTTTTATTGTATAAGTCCCTCACCTCCTTGGTGAAATTTATTCCTAGGTACTTTATTCTTTTAGTTGTGATTGCAAAGGGAATTGTATTCTTGAGTTCTCTTTCTGTAAGTTCATTATCGGAGTATAGAAAAGCAACTGATTTTTGTAAGTTGTTGTACCCTGAAACTTTACTGTAGTTAATTATTTCTATCAGTTTTCCAATGGATTCTTGGGGTTTTCTATATATAAGATCATGTCATCTGCAAACTTAGGGGTTTCACTTCTTCCCTCCCTATTTGGATTCCTTTTATTCCTTTCTCTTGCCTAATTGCTCTGGCCAAAACCACCACTACTATGTTGAATAAGAGTGGTGATAGTGGGCATCCTTGTCTCATTCCTGTTCTCAGGGGGATGGCGTTCAGTTTTTCCCCATTGAGTATGATGTTGGCTGTGGGTTTGTCATATAGGGCCTTTATTATGTTGAGGTAATTTCCTTCTATCCCCATTTTGGTAAGAGTTTTTATCATAAATGGCTGTTGGATCTTGTCAAATGCTTTCTCTGCATCTGTTGAGATATCATGTGGTTTTTATTCCTCATTTTGTTAATGTGGTGTATCACATTAATTGATTTGCGGATGTTGAACCATCCCTGTGTCCCTAGCATAAGTCTCGCTTGATCATGGTGTATGATCCTTTTGATGTATTGCTGTATTTGGGTTGCCAATATTTTGTTGAGGATTTTTGCGTCTATGTTCATCAGCGATATTGGCCTGTAGTTTTCTTTTTTTGTGTTGTCCTTGTCAGGCTTTGGTATCAGAGTGATGTTGACCTCATAGAATGTGTTAGGAAGCATTCCATCCTCCCTAATTTTTTGGAATAGCTTGAGAAGGATAGGTATTAAATCCTCTCTGAAAGTTTGGTAGAATTCCCCAGGGAAGCCATCTGGTCCTGGGCTTTTATTCTTTGGGATGCTTTTGATTACTGTTTCAATCTCTTTACTTGTGATTTGTCTATTCAGATTGTCTGTTTCTTCTTGATTCAGCTTTGGGAGGTTGTAAGAGTCTAAGAATTTATCCATTTCCGCTAGATTGTCCATTTTGTTGGCATATAGTTTTTTTGTAGTATTCTCTTATAATCCAGCACATTTCTGTGGTATCTGTTGTTATTTCTCCTCTTTCATTTCTAATTTTGTGTATCAGAACTTTCTCTCTTTTTTCTCTGTAAGTCTGGCTAGGGGCTTGTCAATTTTATTTATCTTCTCAGAAAACTAGCTCTTTGTTTCATTGATCCTTTCTACTGCCTTTTTTGTTTCAATAGCATTAATTTCTGCTCTGATTTTTATTATTTCTCTCCTTCTGCTGACTTTGGGCTTTGTTTGTTCTTCTTTTTCTACTTCAATTAGGTGTAGTTTAAGATTGCTTATTTGGACTTATTCTTGTTTGTTAAAGTGAGCTTGTATTGTGATGAATTTCCCTCTTAATACAGCTTTTGCTGCATCCCATATGAGTTGGTATGGTATGGTATGTTTTCAGTTTCATTTGTCTCCAGATATTTTTTGATTTCTCCTTTAATTTCTTCAAGGATCCATTGCTTATTCAATAGCATGTTGTTTAGTCTCCACATCTTTGTCCTTTTCTCAGCTCTTTTCTTGTAATTAATTTCTAGCTTTATAACATTGTGATTGGAAAGGATGCTTGCTATTATTTCAATCTTCTTAAATTTATTGAGGCTTGCCTTGTTTCCCAACATATGGTCTATTCTTGAGAATGTTCCGTGTGCACTTGAGAAAAATGTGTATTCTGCTGTTTTTGAATGGACTGTTCTATATATGTCTATTAAGCCCATCTGATCTAGCTTTTCATTTAATTCTATTGTTTCCTTGTTGATTTTCTGTCTGGATGATCTATCCATTGATGTGAGTGGAGTGTTGAGGTCCCCTACTATTATTGTGTTATTATTGATGTCTTCTTTTTGGTTTGTTAATAGTTGCTTTATGTACTTTAGTGCTCCTGTGTTGGGTGCATAGATATTTATAAGTGTTATTTCTTCTTGATGGAATGTCCCTTTGATCACTATATACTGCCCCTCTTTGTCTCTCTTTACCTGTCTTATCTTGAAATCTACTTTGTCTGATTTAAGTATTGCAACACCTGCTTTCTTTTGTTTGCCATTAGCTTGGAGTATCGTCTTCCATCCCTTCCCTCTGAGCCTGTGTTTGTCATTGGAGCTGAGATGTGTTTCCTGGAGGCAGCATATTCTTGGGTCTGGTCCTTTAATCCATCTTGCTACTCTGTGTCTTATCATTGGAGAATTCAATCCATTTATGTTTAGGGTGATTATCAATATATGGGGGCTTAATGGTGCCATTTTATCGCTCATTTTCTGGTTCTCCTGCATTTCCTTTGTTTCTAGTCCTGTGTATTTTGGTCTACCAATTGAGTTATGTAGTTTTTTATGTTGTGTTTCCTTGCTGTCTCCTTATTTATTGTCTTTGCTCTGCTTTTTTGTTTAGTAGTTACCCTGAGGTTTGTATTCAAGATCTTGTGGATAAGACAGTCCCTTTTCTGATGGTCTCTAATTCCCTTAGACTAAACCAATTCTGTCCCTTTCCTCTTCTCCTCCTAAGTTGTTTTTCTCATATCTTATTCCATCTTGTGTTATGAGTTTGTGGTTAAAATGACAAGATTATCTTTGTTTTTGGGGTTTTCCTTCCCTTTGTCTTTAATGCTATACTTGAGTATTTGCTATCCTGCTCTGATTCTGTCTGCCTATTTATCTCCTTACTCCAGGCTTTATAACCATTTTCTCCCCTTTTTTTTCAGGTATGAGGGCCTTCTTGAGGATTTCTTGATGGGGGGGGGGGGTCTTGTGCCTACAAATTTCCTTAGCTTATGTTTGTTGGGAAACTTATTTCTCCATCATATCTGAAGGATATTTTCACTGGATGGGGTATTCTTGGCTGAAGTTTTTGTCCTTCAAAGATTTGAATGTGTCATTCCAGTCTCTCCTAGCCTGTAAGGTTTCTGCAGAGAAATCCGCTGAAAGCCTGATGGGGGTTCCTTTGTAGGTCGTTTTCTTCTGTGTAATGATTTTTTTTATTTTTAAACCGAGAGCTCATACTGTGTTTGTTACGTTAACAAGGATTATGTAGGTGTGATGATAGGCCATATAATGGGGTGAATTGTGTCCCCCTAAATTCTTATGTTAAAGTTCTAACCCCTGTACCTCGGAATATGACCTTACTTGGAGATAGAGTCTTGACAGAGGTCACCCAGTTAAAATGAGGTCATTAGGGTAGACCCTAACCCAATAGGACAGGTGTGCTTATAAAAGGGAAATTTGAAGACAGGTATATACCCAAGAGAACACCAGAAGAAGCTGGAGGCAGAGACCTGGGTGCTGCATCTAGAAGCCAAGGAACACCATAGACTTCCAGCAGACACCAGAAGCCAGGAGACAGCATGGAACAGATTCTCCCTCACAGCCGTGAGAAGGCACCAACCCTGCCGACTCCTTGATCTCGGACTTCCAGACTCTGGAACTCAAACAATAAATGTCTGTTGTTTTAAGGTATCCAGTGTGTGGTACTTTGTTACAATAGCCCTAGGAAACCAATACAGGCCATTTAAAAATTCTTTATATTTGTCTACCTTAAAGACTCATTTCTACTTAATTGTATATGCAAGGGACCACCCAGGGTAGTGAGGCCCATTTCTTAGCCAAACCTCATTGTCAGCTCACAAGCTCACAGTGAGATCTTGGTTGCCACCAGCCTGAGCAGCTGGCAGACATCTTGACCTCAGATAAAGGGATTTGCAGGCAGGGGAATTGTTGCATGTGCCCCATAGATAAAGGACCGAATAGCAGAGGTATACCATCTCCCTCTCATCAGATTCAGGTGACAGGAAAGCTAGCCCATCTCCTGGCTATCACCGGCCTTAATGGAACACATTATCCTCTGCTCTTCTTAAGTTCAGGGCCATTCGCTTAATCAAAATGAAACAGTGTAACTTTTTCCGCCTGGAATGACCTGAAAGAAATGGTCCCATGGCAAGGAGTTGGGACTTTATTCTGTGTTACAGGAAAGCAATGGAGGTTCAAGCAGCAGAGCGCCCTGAGCTGGCTGAAGTTCCTAAAGGGCTGCCCTGGCTCCTGTGCAGAGGATGGAGTGTGAGGGGAGAGAGAGGAAGTAGACTAACAGAAAAAGGATGCTGGCTTGGACCTGGAGGCGGCAGTAGAAATGGTAAGAAATAATCAGGCTCAGGATATTTGGGGGGAACATGGGTAGGACTTGCTAGAGAATTGAATGTGGCAGGCAAGAGAAAGAAAAATCAAGGATGGCTCCAATGCTGTTTTTCTTTCCCTGATAAACTGGATGGACAGCTGATGAATCAGGAGGGGGAAGGCTGGGGGAAAGCTTAGTTTTTCTGCTTATCATGGAGGGAAATGCTGGGAGGGAAAGATTCCTACCCCAGTCTTTTGGAAAGCAGATTGCAAGCCATTCAGAGAAGACGAAGTGCTCTTTCTTCCTTCAGATAAACACTATTAATCCTATGCTTATTGTGACGAAGTGCTGCCTGGGCCGCCAAGGGAGCCACCAGCCTCCTAGACGCAGACAGCGGGAAGGGGTCTAGAGAAAAGGGCACTGTGGGTTCTGATTAGAAAGGAGAGCCCTTCAGCGTGCCCACTGGAGGAAGGGCTATGGATGCAGAAGAAGGGCAGGCTGGCAGGATGCTTTTCAGCCAGTGGGAGCCCCTGGGACAGACAGCTGTCTTTGGTCCGAAAGCTCCAGGCTTGGACTCCTGGGGGCTGGGGTCCCATCCTGGCTCCCTTGCTGCGGGGAATCCAGTTCCCAGCTGGATCTCCTGCTGACACCCTCCTCCACTCTGCACCTGGGTCTGCGCGCTTCACCCCTCTGTCCCTAGGTCTACACAGCGCTCCACATTAGGAGGCCCTCGACAAACGTTGTTGAACAAATGAAACATGTGCCATGGGTGTGATTATTTCTTTTTCTAAGCAGGCTAATTGGTTGGCAAAGAGTGGATGCTGTAGAGATGGGTTACCTTGATTTCAACAACACATTTGAGAGAACTCTCCTAATATTTTGAGATTATTATGGAAGTACCTGGAAATAAATATGAGTTGGATGATAATACACTTGGAAGAGTTAATTACTGTTGACTTATGGTACAAAAAGGAGGCTGATATGTGAATTACTATCCCACGTGGGGGCTATCAAGTGACGTCCATATGGCTCTGTGTTAACCTCTGTCCTGTACAACATTTTTAGCAATGACTTAGGTGAATATGTAGAAAGTTAAAAATCATTAAGTATGCAGCTATCTTAAAATTGAGAAGGCTCGTAAATGCCAAAGAGATAAAAAACAAGATCCGAAAACTATGTAAATGAATTTGGATCCTGTATCATGATTAATAAGATCATATATAATGAGAATAAAACTCTTTTTAATGTAATAAATAAATTGAACAAGAAGAGATTGGGGGACTTTGGTTTTTAAGTCGTTCATGCAGAAAAGGCCTAGGTCTTTACTGAACATAAATTCAATGTGAGCTCACATATTAGCCAGATTATTTAAAAAAATCAAATGTAGTACCTATATGCATTGTTAGAAGTAAAATACTTAGAACATAGGAGGTGAGACCCATAGCATTCTGCACTGTTTGGAGTACCTCTAAAATACTGCCCACAGTTCTGGGGGTATATGTATAAATCAGGGTTTGTTAATCCTATTTTTATTGCTTTCTGACTATTAAAGGAATACATGCTCGTGATACAAAATTTCAAAAATATAAAAATCACCCACTGTCCCATGATCAAGAGACAATATTTGTTTCTAGTTTTTTTCTATGTATAATGTTGAGGTTGTACCATAGATGTAATTTGTATCCTGCCTTATGTTTCTTTATAAAAGATTATATCAAAAAGTTTATCACAAACCAGTAAGCATTTGGCTCTGGAATCAGAGAAGTTGAAATTAGGATCTTGGCTCCACCACTTAACTGGCCAGTTTGACCTAAGAGAAGTCGATTAACCTTAGTTTCTACTTCTGAAAAGTGGGAATAATAATGGCATCATTTCAAAGAGTTTGCTATTCATGCTTCCTATCATCGTCACCATCATTATAAGCTACTCTGTGCATTTCTACTTGAAATCAGAGTTTTCTCTTTTTTCCAAAACTGATTTCTAGTTTAGTGTAAAACCAAATTTAGTTTAAAAAATCTAGTCTTAAAAGAAATCTTTTTGAAAATACATAAATAAAGAAAAATAATTGTTGAGTATTTTATATAACAGAATCTTGCTGGTTTCTTATGTATCAATCTGCATTTGGTCTCTATCATTTTTTGTTTGTGTTTATGTGAGGAAGATGGGCCCTGAGCTAACATCTGTTGCCAATCGTCATCTTTTTTGCTTGGGGAAGATTGTAGCTGAGCTAACGTCTGTGCCAATCTTCCTCTATTTCATGTGGGACCCTGCCACAGCGTGGCTTGACGAGTGGTGCTAGATCCACGCCCAGGATATGACCCTGTGAACCCCGGACCTCCAAAGCAGAGCATGCGAAGTTAACCACTGCATCACTGGGCAAGCCCCTGGTCTCTATCATTTTATAGAAGCAGATACATTCAAAAGGGTTTAATTCCTGAAATCCTAGGGAAGATGACTGCAACCAGACGATGGGCTCCCAAGGACAAGCAGGACTTCTCTGATCTCTCACCAGAACCTGGCAAGGGATTCATCAGTACTTGCTGATGGCCTCAAGGGTCAGCCCCTCAGGACAAGACAACACAGGATGCTGTCCCTGGAGCTAAACAAAATGGAAACTCTCCCATTGACTTCTCCTTTGACTTAACATTGCCAAGAACGGAGGGAGGGAGAGAGGACATTTCTGGCCTCTCATGAGTGCCTGGCCATCCTTTTGTTTCTCCCCAAAGAGCGCCCCTCTCCCATTTCGGGAGGCCTATGGACCTCCCAGCAGAGAATGCCTCGAGCCCAGCACAGGCGGTGTGGGAAGGGGCATTAGGAATGAGTTTGCCCACCCACTCCCTTCACGTGGAACCGCACTGCCCACCACCCCAAGCATCTTTGCCCTTCCCTCCACCTTCAGAGAAACGTTTTCTCAACCCCTCTGTAAAGGTTAATGGCTTCTTAGGAGCCCAGTGCTCTTCAAGTCTTTGCCAGAACAAAGCTCCCACAGTCATCACCTCCCTTTCTAGTCATCTCAGTCATTCCCTTTGACCATCATAAAAGCTTTCCTGTTAACTTGTGTAAATATTTGCTGATATTTGCTAGTGACTACAGGAGCCTGTTGTAACAGATGAATGGGCACCAAATAAGTAAAAGATGACATTGTGTCAACTTCCTTTGATGCCAACTTCAGTATGTCCAGTCTCTATTTCTAGCCCACTCATCAAATGCAAAACTTTTCACTGTAATTCAGAGGTCATCTACGATCCAGCTTCCTCCCACATTTCCAAATCTATCAAACTCTACTGACTGTCTCATACTGTAATCTTTAGGCTAGGTCAAGACTTAAAATTTTTCAAAAGATGCCATTGCACTTGTAATAAAACACCAACTCCTTCCTGTGGCCTACAAGGCCCGCTCTGATCTGGCTCCTGCCTGCCTCGGCAACCTCACCTGTACTGCTCGTCCCAACACACTGCCGTCATCCTGGCCTCTTCTCAGCTTTCTTAAATGCACAGAACTTCCCTCACCTATTCCCCATTGTCTCTTGGGAGATTGACCCAGGAAGAGCCACATATATTTTAGTCATGAGCAGCCCAGTCCCAGCACATAGGAGGCACACAATAAAACTTTGTAACATTAAAAAATGAAGATAATCTGCTTAAGGCGACCATAGGAATTCTAGTCTCAAATCCCAGGCCAAAGATTGAGAGAAGACACAGGGATCTGGGAGATTTTGGCTTTTGGGAACTAACCAGAGGAAGCTAGAGTTTCTCCTGCCTTTCTCTGCCAGGAGGGCAGTGAATGTTTTGGTGAAGATTTTGTAGGTGATTCTGAAGGAAGAGGAGCCAGCCAACAAGAATCAAAAATGGCGCAATGCACTGTCAACGGGAGAAGACACTTTTTGTGTATTTCCTTTTCTTTTTTCTTGACTCTCTTGTCTCTTTCTGTCCACATCACTCTATGACTTCCATGTCCCCATAACCCGGGTCACGCTGGTGTTTATTCTTCTATATTCTTATCCACAGTTACAGTGTCATACTCAGATAGACATACAGACACAAAATGCAGGACATTTTTGGTCATTCATTCTTTGATGGAAGAATGAAATCTGTGTTATTCATGTGTCTGATTTTCTTGCTTAAAAAAATCTTGAGGACATTCCCCCAAGTCAAGCTGTATAGCTTGGTATAGCTTCAATTAATTCTTTTTCGTGGCTGCATGATATTCTACGGAAAGGATGTACCATTACTTATTCAGCCATTCTCCTATTGATAGGCACTCATTGTTTAAAATTTTTCATTGTGGAAATTTTTAAGCATATACAAACGTAGAGAGACTAGAATAACAGATCATGTCACCTAGTGTTCTTGATTGTCAATTCAGGGATAGCCTTGTTTTATTTTTTATACCCATTCACTTCATTGTCTCCACCCCTATGGGATATTCAGAAGCAAATTCCAGACATTGTGTCATCTCGTGATGGGCATTCATCTTCTCTATGGACTTTTGCCACTAGAAGCAAAGTTGCATTAAAGATTCTTATAGATCTATTCTAAGATGCTGGTCATTTTATTTCTTTGGGCCATATTTCCAGGAGTGAGTTTGCTGATGAAGACTATGGTTATTTTAAATTTTACGGACGTGGCAGATTCCTTCTCCCAAACTCTAGAATTTATCTGTTAGTGCATGTATCTGACTTTACCAATTTGGGTACGGCAACCACCTGAGGGCAGGATTATATCTTATGCCTCTTGGTACCCCTAGGACATGGCATAGGACTTGGCAAACTGAGGCAAATGGCATTGATTTTCTTTTCTTGGATTTTTTTCCTCTCCCAGTCTTTTTTTTCTAAGCATACCACCAAAGTCTTTGAGTGAAAATGCAATAATCAATGTTGGGCAAGGTGGCTTAGTGCTCTTGAGGATGTTTCTTTCCTCATCTATAAAATGGAGATGTGAAGGTAAAGTGAGATGACGCGTAGGAGAACGCTGAAAGCCAAAAAGAGAAGCTGGGCAATTCGGTGGCTTAGAGCCTCCCACCTGGTGGTGTGGGCTTCCTTCCCAAAGCTCTCAATCCTTCTGAAAATCTCCTTGTACTGTCTTAGCCCCAGTGGCTGAGTCACAGCCTTCAGAAGGTCCTAGATATTTGGAAAACCTACAGAAGCCCAGGGAAGCCCTGGGTTCCATTTGGTTATTTACAGATGTGTCCTGCATGTAAGGCCTCACGTCAGGCCTCGGGGGAAGATGAGGTCGGGTGGAAAGATCAGCGGGCAAGGAGTCAGACAGAGGAGGGTTCTAGTCCTGACTTTACCCATGTGTCCATGTTCAAATCTTTCTCTGAGTCTCAGTTTCTGCTTTTGTAAATCAAGAATACTTTCCTTGGGGCTGGCCGCATGGCGCAGTGGTTAAGTTCACACATTTGGCTTCAGCAGCTCTGGGTTCACCCATTCAGATCCTGGGTGTGGACCTACACACCTCTTATTAAGCCATGCTATGGCAGGCGTCCCTCATAAAATAGAGGAAGATGGGCACGGATGTTAGCTCAGGGCCAGTCTTCCTCAGCAAAAAGAGGAGGACTGGCAGCAAATGTTAGCTCAGCACTAATATTCCTCAAAAAAAAAAAAAAAAAAAGGAATACTTTCCTGTCTGCACAGCAGTGGGACGCCAGTCACACTGTGCTCTATATGGATGGTGCCTTTTAAAACGTATGACTTGAACGGTGCTCTTGCTTCATAGGATTTTTTTTCTCTGAGAATTGAAACTTAATATATACATAGGTTTGTATAAATGGTAATCCCTACATACTTTTTAAATTAGGCGGGTTTCCTCATTGTTAACTCATTCTTTTTATAGCCCGTTTAAAGTTGGAGTATTAATGTGAACAGACCCGGGATGGAATTTGGATTCCTCATGCTTGTGACCAGAACTGGAAGGCCGGGATGTGCCCCTGCTTTGGAGAGTGACAGAGTGGATGTTCAGGTCATCTGTTCCTGGCAGAAGCTTCTCCAGACTCAAGCTCGTGGCAGGGACTGGCCTCCCTCGCAGCTCTCTTGCTCTGGCAACATCAAGATGCCCACAGCTGGTCTTTTGTGAACCACACCGCTCAGTGAGCCTTGGCTGATCCAAAAACCTGGTGTCATTCGTTGACACTGAGGTCCTGAGCCCTGGTGTCTGGGCACACCTTCTCTGCCCTGCTCGCTCCCCACCTCGAGTGAGCTTTAAGAAAGATTCTCGGGGGCAGACTGCCTCCGGCAATGTGGTGAAGCTCTTCCCTTTCCATCAGACCCTTCCTAGCACAGGGAAAAACTCAGCTCCCTCAAGGAGGACTGGAAATGTCACCTAAATTGACAGCCCCATGCAGACATGTAAGGTTTACGTGGTAGTCACTTTGAGTTTGTAAAAGCAAGCATTCCTCTGCTGGGAGGAGGAAGTGGGAAGCCCGGCTGCACCTTCTCCCTGAGATGAATGACTGGGAGATGTCGCAACAAACCTCAGCCCCTTCTGGGAAAGGGCGCGCTGTTTGTCTTCAGCGCCGCCAGCCCAGGGGGTGGTGGGGATACGGAGGGAGCTCCACGCCCTTTCCGCAGAGCTCCTGTCAGGTTCCAGCCTGCAGGGCCAGAGTAGGCTGCTGGACAGAAAGAAATGTGACTTTTCAGCATGGGCTTCTGGCCAGCAGGGTCACCTTGCACATCCTTTGAGGCTTGGTTCTTTGGTCTTTGCAGCTGAGCCAAATGGCAGTGCCAGGCAGAAGGCGCTGCCCTCTGGTGTGTGGATGCTCCTGTCAGTCAAGGCCAAAGAGACTCCAGCTGCAGTTTCTGATGAAAGGCGCCTTGCAGCCCTGGCGCTTGGCATTCTGCATGGGGCTCCAGTGTGACTGGGAGGGGCCTCCCTCTGCAGCTGGAGCAAAGTCTCACTCCGAACGAGATCTATGGGGGCTGGGGGTGGAGATGAGCATGACAAAAGAAGGAAATCACAGTTGTGTGTATTCTGTCCCCACTCGGAAACGGGTGACGCATCGATAGGACACTTTCCTGCAATTCCCTCTTCTCACTCACAAAGATTTGAATGACTGAACAACAACAACAAAAAGCATAGAAGACAGAAAAGAAAAGGGAATAAAGGACAACAGTACTTTTGGCCATTCTCCTCTTTGGGAGGTTAGCTCTAGTTACATACTCTAGAAAACTCGGTCTATGCCCTGCCGACACAATGGGCTAAAAGTGAACGAAACATCCAGATCCCCCCACTCCCCAGTGAGTGTGTGTGTGTGTGTGTGTGTGTGAATGTGTGTGTGAATGTCTGTGTGAATGAATGAGTTCCAATAGGCCAATGGCCAGTTTTGTTTTGGTAAAAAAGAAAAGAAAGTACCTCACACACGAAGCTGAATTGATTATAAATGCCTCATCTGTTCCTGAACGCAGATTTCAGAACCAGACAGGAGTGGATCCAAATTCCTCCTGAGAACCGTGGCAGCTCCATGATTTGGCTAACTCACAAAACCTCCTTAAGGCTCAGGTGAGAATTCCTCAGCTTTCAAATCGGACTCACAAGCCTGCTTCATGTGGATGCAGACAATTAGACGAGCTAGTGCATGTAAAAGTACCCCAGCTCAGGGAGGACCACGTGCGGGTAAGTCTGGAGAGAGGCAGGGACTGAATCTGGCAGCCTTGGAAGCCATAAGAAGTATCTTGTCTTTACTCTAGAGCAATGGAAAATGAAAGAAGGTTTAAACAAGGTAGTGACTAATGGCTGCAGCATGGAGAAGGCATTGTCAGGAGAGGGAAGGGTCAGGGAAGGGGAGAGCAGTAGACCACTGCAGCAGCTCGAGTGACTTCAGACATTTCCTGGGCCTTGACCCTCTGATTTCTGGGCTCTGGGCACTATACCTGCTTCAGATTCCATAAAGGTTCTTTGGCCTTCAAGTTCTTAATGTTGGACCCACCATTGTTAATAAGTTTATACCTTGAGTCAAAGGTAGCTTTGGTTTTGTTTTGTCAAATCAATATTCACGAAGTACCTATCACCTGCTAGGAACACTACTGGCTGATTATAGAGTTTAGTGTGGGATGGCAAGTAGGTTCCAACTACTCACTGGTAGGCCCTGTGTAGAAAGGATTCTAGGGCCCCACAGTTAAGAGAGGCAGGATTAATTAGTCACATCTGCTGTGGGTGAGGGGAATGCTGGCAGCACGTTTGTCACATATTTGCCATCGCTGGCCCAGTGGCTCCCAGCACTTATACTCCACCTTAGCTTGATCCAGGCTCTGCTCGGACCGTTTTGTCTTCAGACATTCCCACTAGTCTGGACACGGTAGGAGACATCGGCAGTCGTTTCCAGCCCAGGAACTATTGGAAAGAAGGCATTCTTTTGCCATTGGGACTGCTATACTCAGTATGTGAGCTGACGGGGACCTCCGTGTGGAGAGAGCATGCCTGATGACGCATACAGAGGACAGCGGCGTTGAGGGAAGAAGGGGCTGAACAGGAGTAATAGTTTGAAGGCCTGGATCTAGCAATGCTGGAAGCTCCCATCCAGGGGAGAGGCATAGATGTGTGCCCACAGCTGGGGCGAATTCGTATGTCCTGGAGAGGCCTGAAACTTGTTCCAACGAGTAACCACATACAGAGTGTAGCAATGGTCGGAGCAAGGTGGTTGAGTAAACAACTGACAACCAAAATGGGCTGTGGACATGTGAGTGTTCCTTGGCAGATTTTCAGAAAAAGTTAGGAAAAGGAACCCCCAAAGACTTAACTTTCTATCACATCAGATGGGTGCTTGGATTGTTGTTTTTTGGGATAGGAAAGAGAAGGGTGATGTATAATTCTGGTCTGGGGCAGCTAACAGCAGGTGTGTCTTCCCACACTCTTTCTTACCCAATCATAGGGCTCGAAGTAAAGGGCTTTGGGGATGAAAAGTTACAAGATAGAAGGCTTCTGGATTCCTGGGTCATCCTTTGGAGGAGAGCTGCTCAGGAGAGTCACCCGACGTATCCAGCTGTGATGGGAAACCAACTTTGTGTGCTACACCACTGAGTGTTTGAGCTTTGTTTGTTATCTTAGCTTATCCTGTATTAACACGTTTACACTTAGTGTCCAGAAAGGGCTAAAATTCCATCACCCCAGGGTTTAGAAAGGATCATCTATATATTACCTATCAAAAAATCTCTACCAGGGGCCGGCCCGGTGGCGCAGCAGTTAAGTTTGCACGTTCCACTTTGGTGGCCTGGGGTTTGCCGGTTCAGATCCCAGCTACGGACATGGCACCGCTTGGCAAGCCATGCTGTAGTAGGCGTCCCACATATAAAGTAGAGGAACATGGGCATGGATGTTAGCTCAGGGCCAGTCTTCCTCAGCATAAAGAGTGGCAGCAGATGTTAGCTCAAGGCTAATCTTCCTCAAAAAAAAAAAAAATCTCCACCACTTATTTGCTCACACAAAGTTCATTTTGCCGATGGTGATGCAAGGTTAAACGAGGCCAAGAGTTTGGTGAGATGAATGCTTTCACGTGTTGCTTACACTGTAAATTGCTGGAAGGTTTTGGAAGGCAATATTTATCAATTGTCATAAAATATTTGTACCCTTCAAGCGAGTAGTTCCATTCCTAGGAAACTAGCTCAAGGAAACTACGAGAAATGTGTGTAAAAAATACGTACAAGCCCATTTATGGTCATCGTGGAAACAACATAACTTTTCAACAACATCAGGATGGCGGGAAATTATGGTACCTGCATGAATGGGATATCATGTGTCAATTACGTTTGTGTTTATGAAGACATCTTAATGGCATGGGCAAATGTTTATGTTAGAATGTTAGTGAATATCAGGAACTAGAACTACGTAAAACCCTACTTACTCTGTATATATATTTATAGGAAGAAAGCTTGGAAGAAAATGCACCCAATTGAACAGTTAATAGTGGGTTTTGTCTTCCTGATGGAATTGTATGGAACTTCTATTTTCTTCTGTGTACTTTCCTGTATTTTCCAGTTTTAAAGATATATTATTTTTTATAATCAAGAAAAAATCACAAAAAGCTTTATTTAAAAATGTTATGCCATGAGTCAGCCCTGATGGCCTAGCAGTTAAAATTCGGCACGCTCCACTTCGGTGGCCCGGGTTTGGTTCCCAGTCACAGAACCAGACCACCCGTCTGTCAGTTGCCACGCTGTGGCGGCAGCTCACACAGAAGAACTAGAAGGACTTACAACTAGGGTATACAACTATGTACTGGGGCTTTGGGGAGGGAAAAAAAAAGGGAGTAATACTGGGAATAGATGTTCACTCAGGGTGAATCTTTCCCAGCAAAAAAAAAGAAAAAAAAATTATGCCAGAGTGTCCCCAACAGGTTGAGGCTGCCATTGGGCTTCTCAAAGGTGTGGTTGAACTTCCTGAGATATAATCAGGGGATAGTCATTACCCAAGCCTCTGAATGTAGCCCTTCTCTGACGGCCACTGAACGGTTCATCAGAAAAGCCTCAGATCTGCTACGGCTGTGGAGTGTCTGCGCATGTAACAGGGGCAGTAATCAGAGCAAATGACTTCTGCAAGTTGGGGAGAAGTTTGCAAGTGATGCTCAGCCCCACCTGACCTCTGACCTCTGCTGTGAAAATGAAGATAGAGGAAGAGGAAGGAGCACTCAGGGAAAAGTGGGGGGGGGGTGCGCGGTGGAGTGGAGAGCAAGAGTAGAGAGAGGAAGCAGAAGAGAGAGAAAGAACGTGAAGGCAGCAGATCTTGGGGCAGAAAAAGGTACTTAGCTCCTAGCATTGGAGAGAGATGTCAGCAGGGAATTTGCAACAGAATAAGCAGAGTTAGCGAATTAGAGGTAGAAGCAGCTTGACTAATTGCAAGTGGAGAGACTGAGAACTTTCTGTAATTATTACCGAAGTCCTGATATCTATCTAGACTATGCATTCTGCTGTAAGGGACCAGGTTAGCATTACCAAACAATGATAATAATAATAAAAAGAGATGAGCATCCAAATATGACCAACATGAAGATATTTCCCTTACTCTAAAAATGAAGAATTGGCTGTTAGTATCACATCAGCGTTTTATTGTTTTTATTACTTGTTTTAATGTTCCCCTGTGGCTCCAGAGATGCAAATGGGAATGTTCGATAGAGAGAAAATTGAGTGTGGGTCTTCTCTATAATCAACGTGCTTAGTACAGCACAGTGACTTGGAGAAGGAGCGGGTGAAACACATGGCGTCGACCGCTTCGTCTATGACTCAGTTCATTAATTTATTTACTCATTCACTCAGCCCAAGCGCACTGAGAAGCAACTGAAATGCACGAGGCACTGGAGACACAGACATGAATCAGTTCCCTGTTTTCAAAGAGCCCAGGGTCTAATAAGAAAGACAACCATGCAAATAAACCGACTATTACACAGCATGAGAAGTGCTGTAACTAGGTAACATACAAAGTGCGGGGAGCACAGCCTTAATGGGACGGTATTTTCATGAACATGTCGGAGTTCCCAGCTTAAGGGAGCAGAAAGAGAATTCCAGGCAGTGGCAGGAACATGCCATGCAAAGTCAGAGACGTGAGAGGCAGAGCATGTTGGGGGACCAAGAGGGAGGCAGGTTAGAGATCGAGTGCAAATGCCCAGCCACGATTTTATAGGCTTTTCCAGTTGTGTAGATACCAAAGATCAGGTTGCTCAATATCCATTCTGTCTTCTTCTAGATGCTTTCTGATAATGCAGAGGCTGGACAGGAATAGAATCCTATATTTGCCAGACCCCGGTACAGCTGGGGTTCTGCATGAGATTTGGGCTCTGCCAGTCAGATGTATCCACGTGAGATTCAACAGGTGGAAGTGAAACATGATGAGGTGGAAGCCACGCTTCTGCTGCTTCTAGTTCTGCTGGCAAGTACGCTCATGCGGGCATTTGGGTTTGGGGTATTTGGGTTTAGGGTTTTCTTTGGCATTTTTTTTTTTTAAAGATTGGCACCTGAACTAACAACTGTTGCCAATCTTCTTTTTCTTTTCTGCTTTATCTTCCCAACCCCCCTCTCCCGTCCCGTACATAGTTGTGTATCTCAGTTGCAGGTCCTTCTAGTTGTGGGATGTGGGACGCCGCCTCAACGTAGCCTGATGAGCAGTGCCACGTCCACGCCCAGGATCCGAACCCTGGGCCACCGCAGCGAAGTGCGTGAACTTAACCACTCGGCCACGGAGCCAGCCCCTTTCTTTGGCATTTGAACAGAGGTCACAACTGCCTTCCTTGTATTTTACAAAAGAAAGGGGCACCTATCACCACTTCTCCCCCCCAGATCTTAATATAAGGCTTTGCCCTGGAATAAAAAATCATCCTTGGGGGCCTGGCCTATTGCTGTAGTGGTTAATTTCATGCTGTCCGCTTTGGCAGCTCTGGGGTCTACGGTTCGCAGTTTCTGATCCCTGGCGTGGACCTACACACTGCTCATCAAGCCATACTGTGGCAGTGTCCCACCAAAAATAGAGGAAGACTGGCACAGATATTAGCTCAGGGCCAATCTTCTTCACCACCCCCCCAAAATCCTCCTGAGTTTCAAACAATGGGACGATTTGAAATATTGATATTTAGGAAGCCTCCTTTAGTCAAGCCACCATTGGTTTGCTTTTGGGCTCTTCCTCTGCCTGATACATATTTCCATTAAGAGAAAGTGGTGTTTTAGAAAAGCAGATTTGGATACACATCGGGATGTTATAAATTCACATATATTATAGAGTGTGGTGGAGGGGTGATAATTTTCATTTAGCCATCTCTCTTCATCATCCCCCAAACATCGTCAGGGAATGCCTTCCTTGTGATGGTTAAGCCTGCTGGAGTAGAGTAGAGAGTGCAGGGGAGAAGTAATGAAAGCAGCTGGGCCTCACTTCCTCTCTCACCAGTAAACTCAGGGCAAAGCTCTACCATCTCTCTCCGTCTCCCTGTCCCTGTCTCTCTGTCCTGTAAAATTAGGATACTCGACATTCGAGAACAGCACGCTCGGAAATGCTAATCACCTAGGAAGTGTGCCCTGTGCATTTTCTGCATTTTCAGTAAAGGAAAAGAGCTTGGTGAGGACTCTCATTCATTTGGTCTGAATCCCTGTCTTATTTGCATATTTTGTGTTTCAAGGAAAAGGAGGTGAGAAACTTCGTGTTTATCTCCAAAACCCCAATATTACTTTTTTTTAAGTAAAAATAACATGTAAAAGGTAAGAAGTGTTTTATATTTTTCTGCACACTTAGTCTCCTTTTTATATGCTTTTACAAAAAGAGTATTGGATAACAAATTTCACACTTAGAGACTTGTCACCGGAAATAAAAATAAATAAAATCTTCAATTTATATACTTTATTGCAGAAAAGTATTGAGTAATCAGTAAAAAACTGTAGACTAAAGCAATATAGTAGGCTAAAATACAGTATGTGAAATAGAATGGAGGTCAAAATTCAAGAAGAGAAAACCGTAATGTTAAATATCAGACAATTAAAGAAGATTTGCATATGTATTTCTTTAAAGGGATGACGGTGGGAATTAACGTTTATGATATTTACATGCCACTGGATACATTTAAAATAATTATATGTCAGCTTTGTTTTTAAAATTAACACTTCCAATGTGTCATAATTACATCATTTGCAGCTATTTAATGATGAAATATTTTAGATGGCAACTTAAAAATGGGCAAGCAGGTACATAGTTTTTAAAAATTCTTTTAGAAGGCATGACAATAAAAAAAAAAAACCGCGAAGGCCACTTATCTAGGGACAAGTCTGCAGAGTTTCTCGATGACTTCAACAACCCTCTCCTCCTCCCACCTCCCCTGCCTCACCCCCACCACCTGGAGAGCTGAGCCTAGGTGGGATCAGAGAATGCAAATTCACTTTAACATTATCTGGAGAAAAATACCACTGGAGGCATCAGCCTGCTGCTCGAGAGCCGTGTTCAGTTGCATCCCAAACTGAAACAGGAGGGACCTCAGGTCCTGGGCTGTGTTCATTATTCATGCCTAGGGTTCCCTCTGTCAGGCTAATCCAGACTTGACAAAAATCAAAAGTGTGGGCATGTCTTGCCAGGATGTGTCACACACATGTCACTCCACCATTTACACACGGCTGACTTTACCACCGTTTACAACTTTCGCTTACAAGCGGGAACATGTTTGTTTGTGTATTGATTGGTATTTGGAAAAGTGTTAAGGGTTGATAAACAGTTGCATATAAGGGAGAAAGTGAAAAATGGCTCATTGACACACTTTTCTTCACCTTCCTTCTTGCCTTGGTCCCCATCTCGAAGGTTCCCTACTTTA